GTGTTTTCAGGAAAAGTTTTAGACGCCTCACGCGTCAGAGAAGGAAAAATGAAGTGTGTGAATGCGATTTTTTTTTTTTTTTTTTTCCTTTTAAAAGTTGAAGTCGAAATTTGACGAAATTTTACATGCAAAACTTTAGTCGCGGAACTACCGAGAATATGTTGGATGATAAATCGTTTGTGGAAACTTACAAGGAATCCATAGTTGAAGCTGCTTGCAATATGGCCTATGAAGATGAATACGATGATACCTATGATACCAGCGGATTGAGAATGCGTGGCATCGAGCTTCATATGGTCGACGAACCAGATGAAGGAAGCTCATCGTATCAAAAGGTAGAGTCTCGCCGGCTCACTCTGGTCACTTAATTATGATTGCCACGCGCTTACAAGGAAAGGTGTTTGAAATACATGAAAATAAACTTCTCCTTTCTTTCTTAGATTGACGCTAGTATTAGTCACGAAAACGAGCTCATAAAAATGTATCTATCCGATTCATCATTGCTCGAAAGAAACAAAACTGCAAGAAATTCCAGTGCACGAACTAGACTTCGAGCTGCCACGCAAATGACCGACGAACAAATCGAAGGATGGTTTATTATGTTTAAGAGAAATGTAATTATCGCAGTTTATCTCGCTTTTTGAAAATTTAACTTCAATCTAACATTGGTATGCCTTGTTCTATGCGCAACCCATTTGTAGCCTAAGAAAGATCGTATACTCGAGGCGTATGAGCACGAACAGAAAAGGAATAAAGAGGAGGCACAATCATCGGAACCGGAGGGAACCGATTCACGTGCAAATTCTTCACTATCCGAAAACTCGAATTCCAATGAGAATTATCGTGGAAGGGGTCGAGGACGAGGACGAGGCCGAGGAAGAGGGCAAGGTGGGAATAGGCGTGGATATACAAATCATAGTAGAAAGAATGCGCATACAAAGAAAATGGGAAGAGGATTTGGCGCTATAACACCTCAATAACAGCAACGGATCATTTAAAATATTTCCATTTCGTTTGTGAATTGCACACACTAATGTATAAGGTATTGGAGCGTTTGGGGCATGTTAGTATTTATTTATTAATTGGTTGTAATGTTCTAATTTAATTTGGCTTTATTAATCGATCAATTATGATCCATTCGCTTCCAGATAGAGAAGATACTTTTGTGTAATGAAAATGTATAAACGACTTGTTTCAATGTATCAACTAGAATATGCACAGTACGGTGACTTGCAAAAAAAAAAAAAAAAAAAAAAAAATTAATAATAATAATAAAAAGAATATATATCTTTATTGGATGGATTCTTAGAAAACTTGACTAGGTATTTGGCATTCAGAAAATCTCTGAAAAGTTAAATATATTGGTTTATTGTTGCTGAGAGAAACAAATAAATATGCGCAAGTGTCTGTTAACGGGAATAAAGTTCTTATCGTGACTATGTTTCACAAGATTATGATGTGATTGCATCTTTAGATCTAGGATCAAACGTGAAACGTGATAGTGGCATAAATTCGTCGCCTGGTCTCGAATATAAAGATTAACAAAATGCTCAAGACCTTCGCAAAGAGAACAACGGCACCTATAATTGGTGCTGCCAAGCAAGTAAAAACGGAATTTTGAAAACTTTCATGAAAAAAAAATATATATATATAAAGTTATGCCTGTGTTTAACCGCATTGGTCCTTACTAAATCTATCTATTTTAAGGGTTTCCCTCGCGCGGTGAGTTCAGTTGTAACGCCAAATCAAGACGAAACTCGAGTAAGTTTTCCGCCGAACTATGATTAATTTGGTCTCGTTTCTCGGGAACATATTCCCGAGGGTAGAATTCCATACAGCGTTTTAACATGAATGACCTTACCAACAACGTGACTGTTGTCACCGTTTATATTTTAAGGCAGGCACCACCAAGTACGGAGGGAAGTACACGGTGACGTTGATTCCGGGAGACGGGATTGGACAGGAAACAGCTAATGCTGTGAAAACCATCTTCAAAGCGGCTAATGTCCCCGTCGAATGGGAACAACTGAATGTCACAGGTTACACCCAAGAAGATGATATTCTATTTCAACGGAGCGTCGAAAGCTTGAGAAGAAATAAAGTCGCGTTAAAGGGTAAAGAAGTTTTTGGCTGTTGAATAAGGTTCTCCCGATCGAGAAAAAAAAGATTAACTCATTTTTCCTACCTCCAGGCATTCTCTACACACCCATCTCTAAAATGGGCCATCAGTCGTTCAATGTTGCAATGAGAAAAGGTCTCGACATATACGCATCATTGGTTATCATCAAGAACATTAAAGGTTATCCTACACGTCACAAGGACGTAGACTTCGCAATCATCCGTGAGAACACCGAGGGTGAATACGCTGGTTTGGAACACCAAGTATGAAATTCGAATATAATAATTATTATTTTTGTTACAAGTTTATATATTTATTCATTTTCTTGGATAAATTCAAATTTTTAATTGAAGGACTAACAATATTGAACAGTCTTATCCAGGAGTTGTGGAGTCACTCAAAATTGTGACCAGAGAAAAAACCGAGCGCATTGCACGTTTTGCGTTCGACTTTGCATTAAAGAATAATCGCAAAAAAGGTCACATGTGTTCACAAAGCTAACATAATGTAGAGTATTTCCATGACTTCTTTGTCCTTTTCGGAATTATGAACTGATCATCGATAATTCACCCATCAACTAGGAAACTCGGTGACGGACTCTTTCTTAACACATGTCGCGAGGTCGCCAAGGAGTACAAATCATCGGGAATCGAGTTCAATGATATGATTGTTGACAACTGTTCTATGCAACTGGTGTCTAAACCACAGCAGTTCGATGTTATGGTCATGCCAAATTTGTATGGCAATATTGTGAGCAACGTGGGTGCAGCTCTTGTAGGCGGAGCCGGCATTATTCCCGGTGCTAATATTGGCCGAAACTATGCTTTATTCGAACCTGTAAGGGAATTTTCTATGACCATTCGATTATTTCGCGGAATGAGATCTTTAAATTCAAGTCACCATTCTTTCATTAGGGATGTCGGCATGTTGGCAAAGACATAGAAGGTCACAATAAAGCAAACCCCACGGCACTAATTCTTTCATCTGTGTTGATGCTACGCCATCTTGGATTAGACGATTTCGCCAATCGAATTAACAACGCCGTTAAAAAAACAATTCAAAGTGGATCAGTACGAATCTTTTCTTTCTTTTTTTTTTTTTTTTGAAAAATGAATGACCGATTTATTCCTCGTTAATACCATCAATTGCAACTCTAACAGGCCAAAACACCGGACATGGGAGGCACATCAACTACAACCAATTTCACCTTATCGGTGATTTCCAACTTGTAACATTCGGATATACTTGGAAGAATTTATGTGGGATTTCTAAAAATACATTGTACAACTTTGACATTTATTTATTCATAGATCAACGCGCGCGTTTCATTCAAAGAAAAATGTATTGAATCCATTACTGTTTCACTGATGCTCGGTATACATCTATTCCATTCGGCGTGTCGTTAACCGGTTACTTTACTTCTTACCAGCATTATTATGAGCCATCCTGTCTCTTTAAAACTCATGGTTTTGGTTTATTATATAAATTGCATTTTTTTTTCAATAAATTGTATTATATAAGTATTATGACTTTATTACAAATATCATTCTGAAAAAGCTTTGCTAAAATTTTCCATTTATCATAGAATTTTATTTCAAGTGTTAAATTATCGCTTAATTCTAGTTCCTTTTCAAGGGTTTCAGTAAAATTTTTTTATTTCAAATTTGTAATTTTTTTTTTTTTTAGTATGAAACTTAATAAATTTATTTAAAAAGATTTAAATTAATTGCATTGATTGTTATCAATTAATAATAATAATAAATTTGATTTAATAGTTATCAGCAAGTTAATATGAATCAAATATTAACTACGATATATTTATTTTAAAAAAATTTTTTTTTTAATCTGTTTGATTAGTTATATATATTTTATTAAACCATTTTTAAACTACATATATATTCTAAGTATCATTAAAAAAAATTTGTTAACTTACTTGTCATAATATAAAACTTTAAGTGCAACTTTGAAAGTAATTTGTTATTTTATATTTTACACTAGTCGAAAAAAAATTATTTGGCATATTGCCACTCATGTTACATTTGGCAAAAAAAATTATTCGGCATACTGTCACATGTGTAACATTTGGCAAAAAATAAACAATTTGTCAAAAAAATACCAAATAAATCGGCAACCACAAAAATTGGTATATTAACAATTTGACAAAAAATTTATTAACAATTTGTCAAATAATTTATTAATAATTTGATAATAATTCATTAACAATTCAGCAATAATTCATTAAAAGTTTATCACAAAATTATTTATTAACAATTCAATAAAAATTTGGCATTAATTTATTAGTAGTTTGTTAAAAATTCATCAACTATTCATTAAAAATTTAACAACTATTCATCAAAACTATTCATTAAAAATTTATTAACTATTCGTTAAAAAATCAATAACTATTCATTAAATTATTCATTAAAGGTTTATTAACTATTCATTAAAAATTTGGCAACTATTCATCAACAATAAAGTAAAAAAATTGATAAACGTATGCACAAATTTTTTTGAATTGAGGTTATATTTATAAATTATGAATAATACAAACTATAATATAATACATAATATA